AATAAAATTAAAATTAAAACAAAATAATAAAATTTAATTTAATTTAAAAATAAAAAAGCAACTGAATATGCACAATATAAAGAACAAAAATTGAGATGATTTCTATAAAGTTTCTATAAAGTATCAACAAATGATACATCCCTTTAAGGAAAGAGATCAGGTTTTTTTTCTTCTGTATTTTCTTAAATTATTTATGCATGCAAGTATTTCCCAGAAGGGAAATAAATATTTAAATTAAAAACAATGACCAGGGGCTGGGGATGTGGCTCAAGCGGTAGCGCGCTCGCCTAGCGTGTGTGCGGCCCGGGTTCGATCCTCAGCACCACATACAAACGAAGATGTTGTGTCCGCCGAGAACTAAGAAAAAATAAATAAATATTTAAAAAATTCTCTCTCTCTCTCTCTCTCTCTCTCTCTCTCTTAAAAAAATAAATAAATAAATAAATAAAAACAATGACCATAATAACTGACTCCTCCATGTCAACCACATTATTCTCTTTTTTTATTTTTTAGTTTTTTATTTTTTTTTTAGGTGAACACAATACCTTTATTTTGTTTCTATGTGGTGCTAAGAATCAAACCCAGTGCCTCACGTATGCTAGGCGAGCGCACTACCACTTGAGCCACATCCCAGCCCCACATTCTTCTCTTTACTACCCTGTGTAATTATATTCCTTATATTGAAAGGATTCTCAAAGGCACAATCTTTGGCCAAGTTCAATAATTCATAAAATTGCATGTTCAAAAGTTAAGTTTAAGTCAAAGAGAAAACAGATGCCTTTCTTTGAGGGATATTAATTGATTTTTTTATTTTTTATTTTTAGTTATAGATAGACACAATAACTTTACTTTAGTTAGATTTATGTGGTACTAAGGATCAAACCCAGTGCCTCACATGTGCTAGGCAAGTGCTCTACCACTAAGCCACAACCCTAGCCCCACTAACTGATTTTTAAGAAGAATATTCTGGGGGCTGGGGATGTGGCTCAAGCGGTAGTGCGCTCACCTGGCATGTGCAGGGCGCTGGGTTCGATCCTCAGCACCACATAAAAATAAAATAAAGATGTTGTGTCCACCGAAAACTAAAAAATAAATATTAAAAAAAAGAAGAATATTCTGTCTCATATGTAATTAGCAAATTACAGAGTGCCTTAAATTATGTTACTTGATAATGAAAAGTTACATATGGCAGTAAGACCAGTTACTGTAGATAATAAATTATTGCAATTATTTTAATTGAATGGATAAATGAATAAACAGAGGTAAGTCTTTTTTTTAATGAATGGATATTCAAAGAGAAAATAAGAATCAAGAAGTTTTCCATTACAAAGCAATAGCACCACCTGCTGATAAATAAAAGCAACAATGTCAATTTATTAAGAAGACACCAAAGGTAATTATATATTCAGATCTTTTCTTTTGAATTCTATTAACATAATAAAACTCATTAATATGTTCTGGATATTTACTTATATATAACTACGTTAATTTGAACATCTGTGTCTTACATATTTGAATAATGCATTTCTTAAAAATCAAAGATAAAAACAAAATTTATTATGGAACCTAAGAAAAAAGTATAGTACTATGGCTCTAATTTTTATTCTACAAGTAATTCACTGTACCATAATTTATTATGCTAACCACCCAGAAGTGTATATTTATTTTGTACAGTTGTTTTTATAATCCTTGATTATACCTAAAAATTATGTTGTCTCACTTTCCCAGTTTAATTTTTATAGCATTCATGATGTTCCTTTTATTTATTTTTGTTTATACTCTTTTATCTACTGAAATAAAAAGAAGGCATTTGTATTTCTTTGCTTGTGAAGTATCTGTTTATTTCATTTGCCCAATTATCAATTGGGTTATTTGTTTTTTCAGTGCTAAGTTTTTTGATTTCTTTATATACTCTGGATATCCTCTGTCCAAATAATGTTATGGTTTAGATATGAGGTGTCCCCAAAAGCTCATATATGAGGCAATGCAAGAAAGTTCTGAGGTGAAATGACTGGGCTATGAGAGTCAGTGCGTTAATCCCCTGATAGGGATTAATTTGGTGGTAACTGTAGATAGATACAGTATAACTGAAGAGATGGCTCATGAGCATGCCTTTGGGGTTTATATTTTGTTCTTGGTGAGAAAAGCTCTCTTTCTCTGTTTCCTGGTGCCATGTAATGAACTGTTTTCCTTGACCACATCCTTCTGCCCCAGTGTTCTGCCTCACGTTGGGTCCAGTGTAATGGAGTCAGTCATCTATGGACAGAGACCTCTGAAACCGTGAGTCCCCAAATAAACTTTTCCTCTTATAATTATTCTTGCCAGGTCTTTTTGTCATAGCAGTGAAAATGCTAACTAAAACAAATAGCTAGCAAAGATTTTCTCCCATTCTGTAGGTTCTCTCTTTATACTATTAACTGTTTCTGTTACTGTGCAGAAGCTTTCTTATTTGATGCCATCCCATTTACTAATTCTTGGTATTGTTTCCTGAGGTTCAGGAGTCCTATTGAGGAAACTGTTATCAGCATTTATATGGTGAAGTGTTGATCCTACATTTTAATGGTTACAAAGTTTCTAGTATAAATCATAGGTCTTTAATCTAATCTGGGTTGGCTTTTGTGCAGGGTGAGAAACAACTTGAGGACAAATCTTTACATTTTATTTTTTTAATATTTTAAACCCAATTTTCTAGGACACTGGCTGATTCATAGTATGAATTTAATGCTTATTGAATAAAAGAACATACATTTAAAATGTTAAGTCTCAAGTATTAAAAATTTTTATAACAGTTCATTCAGTTTATTTTTCTAGAATTATTAACATTATAAGAAAAGGTATTGTGCTTAATGAGGTTAATTTTTAATTTTTATTCAGATTAACTTAATCTCTCAAGTTTCTAAAACCTTAAAATATTTTTAATCAGGGCTGGGGATGGGGCTCAGCAGTAGCACACTTGCCAGGCATGTGTGAGGCACTGGGTTCGATTCTCAGCCCCACATATAAATAAATAAAGGTCTATCAGCAACTTAAAAAAATTAAAAAATATTTTTACTCAACAGGCAAATTAAAATTATCATATTTAAATTCACTTATTAACAAATAATTTAATATTGACTATATTGTATAGATAATAAGAAATCTTTAAGCTATAAAATCTTATAAACTAGGGAGTCAAAAATAATATATATAAAACTAAACTGGACAACGTAAGTGCAAAATACATTGTGAAAATGAGACCACATAATTCTATAACAGCATCATTAATAAAAAACCTGAGGTACAGGTCCTTAAGTCCAAAAACAAAACAAAAAATATCCTTAAGTAATAAGATAATTTAACATCCGGATATTATAGCTAAGGGAAAAATAAAGAGACATAAGGTGAAAGAAAGTTAGGAAAATAAACTTTAGATTGACTATAGAAGGCATGAGAAAGTCAAACATGAGATAGGTCTTAAAGAACAGAAAGAATTCCACTTAGCATAAAACAGAGGACAGAATATGCCATAAAAAGAGTGAGAATGTTAGGGGCAGGCAAGATTCATGACGCAGTATTCAACCTGATTTGAGCACACATACAAATTAGAGAGTTGGAGAGGAAAAGACTGAATGGATTTAATGGTACCAGGTTTCAGAGAGCTTCCAAAGCCAGGCAGAGGGCTAAAATTTTATGTGATGAAAAACAAGTAACCAGAAAACTGATACATCGTTTAAAAAGCTCTAAAGGTTCTAACTACCTTGTTTTGCATTTGAAGAAAATGAGCCATGGAACAATAATATGATTTGCTTATATTTAGAAATAGTATGGAAAAGCCCTATTGCTATAATTTGGATCTTAGATCCTTTAACAGGGAGATAGTGGAACCTTTAGAAGGTAGGGCCTTGTGGTAGGTCCTTAGGGAGGTCTTCTGGTCACTGGGACCATATCCCCAGTAGGGTACTGTCAGACTCCAGCCAGTCCTTTTTCTTTTGCTTCTTGGATGATGAGGTGAATGGATTACTCTACCACACACTCCTGATGCTATATTATAGGCTCTTTTAGACATGGAGCCAATTAATCCTGGACTGGAACCTCCACAACTACAAGCCAARATAAATCTTTTCTCTTCATGATTATCTCAAGTATTTTTTATACTGATGAAAAGTTGATTAACAAGTCTAAACCATTTTTACCCCAAACTGCCACTGTTTGGGGGCATTCTTCAAGAACAATAGATAAATATTGTTAAGCCTGGTTGTTTGCCTAGATTTCAATTAGAAGAAAGGAATAGTATCAAGAGTAAAAATTCTCCCACACTTTCAAAAGTGAACTTTTTTTTTTTTTTTCGAGATATTAGGGATTAAACCCAGGGCTTTCTACCATTGAGTTATATCCATAGTCCTTTTTAGTTTTTATTTTGAGACAGGGTCTCACTGCCTAGGCTGACCTCCTAAATCACTGGGATTACAGGCATGTGCCACTATACCTGACTCAAATATAAATTCTTAACAAAAAGAAATATGTCCTTTGGTTTCAAAATGACCAGTTTTTAAATTTACTATTAATTTTATGCAAAAATATGACTAACATTTTATATGAAACATACCAATAGCAAAAACATTTAAAACTCTATTTTCCATATTGAATGGGCAAAAATTTTAATATTTCACCATCTTTCACAATCATGCTCAAAACAAACATTTCCAGAAAGACAATGTGTAGAGAACATATCCATTCTTTAAACTTACAGTTTGGTTTCATAAATCTAGAATTGATTGAATCAGTATATTAAGACAAATCAGAAATTTACAGCCAAATGCATTCATTAAGGGATATTAATGTTAAAGAGTGTTTGCCTGATGTGAGGGAGGGTCTGGATTCAATCTCCAGCGCTGCAGAAAGAAGGAAGAAAGAAAGGGCATTCACTGAAAATGTTTCTTTTTTAAGGACTGAGAACCAGGTGTTTGTGCATGACCACATTTATGACAGCACATGTGTGATTCCTCACAACTATAACTTACCCCAGTTTTATCACACAAGCGTAAAGTATGAAACGATCCAACAGCAAATAATTCTCCATCTGGAGCCCAGGCAACTGAGGTAATAGGATGCTCGTGGGGTTGTGAACTGTATAGGAGGCGGCCATAACTATCCCACACCTATAAAAGCAAAAAATTTTTAAAGTCTTATAATAATCACAACATTGCTATAAACAAGTTTGTCTTCTAATAAGGTAGCACATAAAGTTTAAGAAATGACCACCTTATAATATTAGTAATTAAATGTCTTTACTACTATACAATAGAGAGGGGAAAAAGCTGTATTCCTTGAAACCAAAATACATTGAAAATTTTTTAAAACATTATTATAATTTTCAGATTTTATAAACCTTGGATTAAACATTAAACCTACCCATTCTAATCCATATATATACTAAAATAAAATTGAACCCCTATCTCTCACCCTGCATAAAATTCAATTCAAGGACTTAGGCATTACACCAGAGATCCTGTGCCTACTAGAAGAAAAAGCAGGCCCAATTCTCCATCATGTCGGCTTAGGAACTGACTTCCTCAATAAGACTCCTAAAGCAAAATCAAGAGTCAATAAATGGGATGGAATCCAACTAGAAAGCTTCTTCACAAAGGAAACAATAATGTGAGCAGACAGCCTACAGAATGGGAGAACATCTTTGCCACCTACACCTCACATAGAGCATTAATCTCCAGGATATATAAAGAACTCAAGAAACAACACACAGAAAAAAATAATAATACAATCAATAAATGGGCTAAGGAACTGAATAGACACTTCACAGAAGAAGTATTACAATCAATCAACAAATATAGGAAAAATGCTTAACATCTCTAGCAATTAGAGAAATGTAAAAATCAAAACTACATTGAGATTCCATCCCACTCCAGTCAGAATGGCAATTATCAAGAATACAAGCAACAATAAGTGTTGGTGAGGATATAGGGGGAAAGTACATTTACACGTATTGCTGTTAGGACTGCAAATTGGTGCAATCATGATGGAAAGCAGTATTTAGATTCCTCAGACATTTAACCCTGTTACCCCACTCCTTGGTTTATACCCAAAGAACTTAAAATCAGCATGCTACAGTGTGACAGCCACATAAATGTTTATGGCAGCTCAATTCACAATAGCCAAACTATGGAACAAACCAAGATGCCCTTCAACAGATGAATGGATAAATAAAATGTGGTATACATACACAATGGAATATTAGTCATAAAAAAGAATGAAATTATGGCATTTGCAGGTAAATGGATGAAGCTAGAGAATATGATGCTAAGCCCAATAAGCCAATCCCACAAAACCAAAGGCCTAATGTTTTCTCTGATAGGCAGATGCTAATTCATAATAAGGGAGTAGGAGCTAGGGAAGAATAGAAGTATTTGGGGTTAGACAGGGGGGTGAAGAGAGGGAAGGCGATACGGGGGTAGAAAAGATAGTAGAATGAATCAGATATTATTACCCTAGTGCATATATGATTACACAAATGGTATGATTCCCCATCATGTACAACTAGAAGAAAGAAAAGTTATATTCCATTTATGTATGATGTGTCAAAATGCATTCTACTGACATGTATAGCTAATTAGAACAATTTTTTTTWAAATCAATAAATGGGATGGTATCAAACTAAAAAGCTTCTTCGCAGCGAAGGAAACAATCAAGAACGAAAGAGAGAACCTACAAAATGGGAGACCATTTTTGCATTAATTTCCAGGATATATAAAGAACTCCAAAAACTTAACACCAAAAAAACAAATAACCCAATCAACAGATGGGCTAAGGAAGTGCCCAGACACTTCACAGAAGAAGAAATACAAATGGTCAAAAAAAATATGAAAAAATGTTCACCATCTCTAGCAATTAGAGAAACACAAATTAAAACTACACTTAGCCAGGCATGGTGGTGCACGCCTATAATCCCAGAGGCTAGGAAGGCTAAGAAGGAGGATCATGAGTTCAAAGCCAGCCTCAGCAAAAACGAGGCACTAAGCAACTCAGTAAGACCCTGTCTCTAAATAAAATACAAAATAGGACTGGGGATGTGGCTTAGTGGTCAAGTACCCCTGAGTTCAATACACGGTACCAAAAAAAAGAAAAAAATACACTGAGATTCCATTTCACTCCACTCAGAATGGCAATTATCAAGAATACAAGCAATAATAAATGCTGACAAGGATATGTGGGAAAGGTACAGTCATACACTGCTGGTGGGACTGCAAATTGGTGCAACTACTCTGGAAAGCAGTATGGAGATTCCTTAGAAAACTTGCAATGGAACCACCATTTGACCCAGTTATTCCTCTCCTTGGTTTATACCCAACGACTTAAAATGAGCATACTACAGTGATGCAGCCACATCAATGTTTGTAGCAACTCAAATCACAATAGCTAAGCTATGGAACCAACCTAGGTGCCCTTCAACAAATAAATGGATTTTAAAATGTGGTATATATACACAATGGAATATTATTCAGCCATAAAGAATGAAATAATGGCATTTGCTGGCAAATGGATGGAACTGGAGACTATCATGCTAAGTGAAATAAGCCAGTCCCTACAAACCAAAGCCTGAATGTTCTCTCTGATATGTGGATGCTAACATATAATAAGGATGGGAAGAGAAGAACAGAAGTTCACTGGATTACACAAAAGGGAATGATAGGAAGGAAGGAAGGATAAAAACAGTAAAGACAGTAGAATGAATTAGACATACCTATCCTATATTCATATATGAATACATGACCAATAAAACTCCAGAACATGTACAACTGCAAAAATGGGATCCTAATTAGAATAAGTTCCACTCCATGTCTGTATGTCAAAACAAAAAAATGTTTTCGATATGTTAAAAAAAAAAACCTCCACATTCTAAGTTCTTTAAATTTAATAGTAACATTTTGAGATGTCTAGTATTTTGTTTGAGTTTACAAAATTTCTCTAAAAGAATTTATTTCAATTAAAGTTCCTGTAAGTTACTTTAATCTTATTTTGGGGATACACATCAGTAGTAGAGTGCTTCCTTGACCTGGATTTAATCCTCAGCACCACAAATAAGGGGAAAATAAGTCTTATTCTTCCCCATAAATAATTTTGTTCTGAAACTGATTAATGTTCAGTAAACCAACAGGGTTTGTTTCTAAAAATTTAAATGAGCTGATTTAAACTAAAATAAAAATAAGGGTTATATTGATGTTGCTACTTATTAAATCAAATTCTATAGGCCAATGAGACAGTTATTACAGTAGAACTTTAAAATACCTTTTAAATTTAGAAAATAATTTGCTAAATTGTTAGAGTTAAAAGTAATACCTAATATGGGACTGGAATTGAAGCTCAGTGGTAGAGTGCTTGCGTAGCATGTGTGAGGCACTGGGTTCAATTCTCAGCACCAAATATAAATAAGTAAATAAAATAAAGGTCTATGAACAACTAAAAAATATATATTTTAATTTTTTTAATATTTAATTTTTAATTATAACTGGACACAACATCTTTATTTTATTTATTTGTTTTTATATGGTGCTGAGGATCGAACCCAGGGCCTCGCAAGTGCTAGACCAGCACTCTACCACTGAGCTACAATCCCAGCCCCAAAATATTTTTTAAAACAAGTAATACCTAATGTAAAAGAATAAAATAATATTCTTAAATGCTAAATACTTTTTGCCTAAATTTGATTCTCTCAACCAGATGACAAGCCTAAACATTACATACCTTATATTTACAATCTTCACCAGCAGATAAAATAAGATCATTGACTGAGTTCCAATCAACTTTTAAAATAATGCCATCATGAGCTTTCCACTATGGGGGCAAAAAATAAGACATTAATTATAACTTTAAAAGTGATGTCTATTTTTATAAGAAAAGAAACTTTACCTCTTTTCTTTTTCTCACTATATTGCCTATGCTAGCTTTGAACTCCTGGGCTCAAGTGATCCTCCTGCCTAAGCCCCCTATGTAGCTGGAACTATAGGGACACACTGTCATACCCAGCTCTTTTCCTCTTTCTCATGATTCTTTTACCATCTTCTCCAGAATTCTTATCTTACTGTTTGATTTCTAACTTATATCAGTGAAAGCACCTAGCACCATGACATCGACTTTATGGCTTTCATCCCCATGAATTTGCTCAGTTGCCTAGACTCAAGATGGAAAATCACTTGCTGCTCAACTTTTTATATTTGTGTGATAACAAGGGAATAAAAATATATACTCCAAAATATCAGGCGTATCTAAATCTTGTTATCTTCTTTGTATATTTGATCCCACTATTGAAACTGCTTTATGCTTGTTTACTAATTCCCTTTTTCTTTTTTTTTTTTCCCCCTGTTTTGGGAAACAAAAAAAAACTCTATTTTTTTTTTGTTCTTCTTGTTGTCTTTCTTTTTCATAAACATCTTCTTTAGTACCCTCTTCATTCTCTTCTGTATACTCCCATAAGTTTCTTTCTCTTTACCTTCAACTTTGGTTCATAATTAGACTACTTAGAATCTTCTGTTGCATTTACGATATAATTAAAAAAGTCTTTCACACATAAAAATATTGTGTGTACATATATATACATATATATACATGTATATTCTCTCTCTATATATATATATATATAGATAGATAGATAGAGAGAGAGAGAGAGAATATACATAGAATACATACACATGGATATGTATAAGTCACCCAGAAATTGGCAAACTAGAAAGCAAACATGGAAACCTTGGTCTTAAATGTAATTCATGTCTCCATTTAGTTATTATTACACATGTCATTAAGTGCTAACATAGGCAGAATAATATAAGTAAAAAGAATTAACTTTCCTTGAAGATTTCAGGGTATATTTCAAATGTCTGAGCCATTTAAATTCATATTAGATTTTAAGGGGTTTCTCTTTAGATCCTTTACAATTTTTGTCATTAACAGAAGAAAATATTAAATTACAATCAAACAATCTCAAAGATAAGCAATAATTTATAGCTTGCTTTATTCAGAATTGCAAAATTACACATTTTTAAAAACAAATGTTTTGGTAATGCATGTTTTAATGCACTAGTTCTCACAATTAACTGTGAGAATCAATCCAATATCCTGAAATAAATGAAAACAATACAGAGACATACAGATATACACACACACATAGATGATCTCAAGAGATTCTTTTCAAAGTTACAAAATAAATTTTTACACATTCAGAATTCATGAACAACTATTTTACTGAATACTTGAATGGATAAATTTGAGGGTAAGTGAATTATACCTCTTTTAAAAAGGTAAAAAAAAAAAAAAACTATGAACAAAACATGAATTAAATTTTCTTTATAAAATTTCAGGTACTAGCTTATATGTTACGTAGACATTTATATATTACATATAATTCACAGAAAACTTTCAGTGATTTCTCAACTTATTGGGCATTTTATTAAATCCCTTTGAACACCAAACACCTTAAAGCTAGGAACTATGCTCCCTTTCTTTCTCTCTCTCTTTTTTCCTTTCTTTCTAAATAAATTTAGGACAACTATTTTTTATCTGTGTGTGTGATATTAGGGATTGAACCCAGAGCATCATGCATGTGTGAGGCACTGTGTTACATCATAAACACATAAAAGTAAAATAAAGGTATTGTGTTCACCTACAACTAGAAAATAAATATTTAAAAGTAAACAAGTTCTAGATGTGTCTAGAAGGTCTTTTAAACTGCATTCCACAAACAAGAATTAATAAAGCATTTCCTTTTACATACAATCTAAATTCAAATGTGTTTATGCTCAAGGAAATTGCTGCAGGTTTAGTTTCCCAAAAGGAATTTGCATTAACTTGCTACTTATATTTTAACTCCTTTTTTTACTATAGCTGAATTTTGATAATGAATACTTTTCCTTCTCTCCATCACCTTCTAGCTCAAAGGTTCTACCAAATCCCTAAACTACATTCAAACAGATCAATGGTGAAAGAAGCAATTCCAGACATAAGCAGTTTCATTTATATAGCCTAACTGCAAATATCTAAATTCACATAACCAGAAACTAAAAGTTTAAGGTATAAACTAAAAGATTCAACTTGTTTGTTTTTATTGTATAATTTCATAGCAGATTTTCAGAGTGTAAGTAATTGGTATGAAAGGACTTTGACTAGTCCTCTTTTCTCAGATTCTTCTCTTTGCTCAAATTCCTTACCTTAGTTGCATAAGGACTTATATCTCCTATTGCGTGTTTTTTTCCCACAGTTCAGTGCTCTACATGCAGTAAAAATGTAAATGCTGTTGACTATAAGAAAAATTTATTTTCTCTCCTTACTCCCTGAAATCTACCTTAACTATTGAATCTAATGCTTCTTAAAACACTTTTATACCCACTATAATCTGTCAATCTCCATCACCAAATTCCTTGCCCAGGAACTAGTCATTCTACATCATTTTTTTTCTGACCTCCCTAGTTGATTAAAAGGTAGAGATGGTATATTAACTCATAAATAACATAATAGCATATATTAAAACTACTCTCTTTTTTTGGCAGTACTGAAATTGAACACACGCCCTTACCACTTAGTTACATGCTGAGCCCTTTTTTTGAACTTTATTTTGAGGGTCTTGCTACATTGCCCTGGCTGGCCTTGAAGTTGCTATTCTCCTGCATCAGATTGCTGAGCAGCTGGGATTACAGGCATATGCCATTTTGTCTAGCTATAATTACTCTATATTGAATACTTACTATATGCCAGGCACTGTCCTATGAACTTTATAATTTAACTCATTTAATCATCACAATAATCCAAATAAGTAGGTATTGGCATCACCAACTAAGATACCAAAAAGCTGATGCCCAAGGATATTTCATAACTTACCTAAGGTAAGGGAAGATGTGAACTCAGGTGACTGACTAGAAAGCTTATGTTCTTATTACGAAATTATGATGTGTCATTATCAACATATGAAGAAAATTATTCTCTTTTCTTTTTTGAGGGATTGAATTCTGAGGCACTTAACTACTGAATCAGAGTCACAACCCCAGCCCTTTTTATTTTTGAGACATAGAGTTTGAACTTGCAATCCTCCTGCCTCAACTTCCCCAAGCACTGGGATTACAGGTGTGTGCCACCATGCCCAGCTTCATTCTTCCTTTTAACACTGGAATCAAATAACAACATCTTGATAAAGGCTTATAAGTTTTCCATTCATTTATCTGACCTTGACCTGTCTCGATGGCCCTTTTTTTTTTTTTTTTTTTTTTGCTTGCTTTTATGTGGTTCTCTACTTGCCCCTTTATCTCATATTTCTGAACATTTTCTGCTTCCTGGGCTTAAAACAACCTTCCCTCTTCTCCTTTAAGATTCAGCTCCTAACTAAAAGTCTTCTTTCTGAACAGTACAAAAGAAAATGTGAGCTCAACACTTATCCTTAAGATAAATGTTCTCTATGTTATTTGAAAAGTTATATATACATTATTTGTTCTAAATATTATATTGACAACTCCTCCACTCTGAAAATAMTAAGAATGCTAGGCTATAGGAAACAGTTCAAGTATTTTAACAGATGATGAAGATAAAAAACAAAGTCTAAGCAAGCTCTTAAAGTTTCATGATTTTGTTTTATTTTGTGTCAACTCTATRTATTTGAGGTTGACTGCTAAACTTAAACATAACCCAGTAGTGCCAAATCTTACAATTCAATAGCTCAAAACATTTTTATGATATACTGGTATAATGTAAGTTGGAATAAGGGGGAAATGAACTTTGCCAGAAACATAAACAGATATTCCTATTCTATTATTAAGACTGATAAGACCACACTCTTAAATCCTTTAGACTAAAAAGACCACCCAGAAGAAAGCACCCTCTACCTTAGCAGATAGGCAGATCCTGATGTTAATTTTAAAATGCCTAAGAAGTACCTGTAAAATTTTAGCATTTGGTTGAAGAGGTTTAATGATCAGCTGTTTGCCTGCTGTATAAAGAACCTTTTCTGAATCAGGGCCCCATGCTACTGAATATACTGGTGTTCCTGTAAAAAAGAAGAAACAAAAATGACTGAAAAACTTTCACTATTATGTCTTATAAAAAGGGAGACTATTAAGAGAATCAATAAAGCAATCTGGTATGTTATTTCATCTTTTCCTACTTAATGGTCCTTTCAAACTAGAGAATAGCCTGATATTAAAATACAGACTAAGTTAATACTGACCATTAAAAATCTATTGTAAGCCACTGACATGTTGTTTTTTGTTTTTTTAAATTCATTTTTATTGGTGTACTATAATTTTAAATAATAGTGAGATTCATTATGCCATATTCATATGCATATAATTTGATCAATTTCATCCCCCAGCTCCTTTTACTTCCGTTTTCCCTCCCCTCCATCCACTTACAATATTCTATTCAAAGTCCCTTCCATTATTCTTATCACTACTTTAGTTAGTACATTATAATTATTTGTATAAGCAGTATTTGTTAAGGTATATTCATGCAAGGATATAGGATAATTTGGAAGATTTCTTTCTTCAGTGCTTCCCCATTTCCTCCCCTCTGGAGCCCTTCCTCTACTCTTTTGATCTTCTAATTTTGTAAGATCCACTTTTTTTATTTTATTTTTTTCTTTCTATCTTCTACATAGGAAGAAAACATTCAACACTTGACTTTCTGAGTTTGGCCCATTTCACTTAGCATGAAGTTCTCCATTTCCATCCAATCAGAAAATTTTCATTCTTCCTTATGGCTGAATAAAACTCTATTGTTTATAAATGATATACTAAAATTTTTTCTTTTCCAACCTTTTTATTAGTACATTATATTTGTACATACTGATGGAATTTGTTGTTACATATTCATACATGCACATGATACATAATATAACATTATAATTTGGCCAATATCATTCCTTAGCACTTTCCCCTACCTCCTCACTTCCCACTTCTCTTTTCTCTACTGATCACCTTTTGATTTTCATGAAATCCACCMCCCCCCTCTCCTTTCTTTTCCTTTTTCCTCTCTAGTTTCCACATATGAGAGAAAACATACAACCATTAAACTTCTGAGTTTGATTTATTTAGTTCAACATAATTGATTTATTTAGTTCATCCATTTTCCTGCAAATGACATTTTTCCTATGGCTGAATAAAACTCCATGACATTTTCTTTATTCATTCATCCAACATACTATATTTTTAACTAATTTAGATCTTGCTGAGAAAATATGGAGTTCTCAGAAATTTCAGATAGTACACTATCAAAATATATAAAATATACTTCATTTTTAAAGGTATCAACACATATTAGAAAAGTCATGATTTATCATTTCCCTTCAACAGCCACTAATGTTTAAACTTATTTAAACATAGGTGAATAAATTGTCCATGTAAAAATATATTGGTTTACTTACCTTATAGATTAAAAATTCTCAAACCTGAGTTAATTCCCATTCCTTATAGTATAATAGGCAATAGAATTCTCTAGACTACTGATTCAGCGAAATTGTCTCGCCCTAATGCAACCTACCCTTCCTACCTATAAGATCTTAAATGGCAAATTAAATATCAGACTAGAAAAAGTTTTGTTATCTCTCATGTATGGCTTTAGCCTGAAAGCAAGGCTAAGAAAGGGTCATATATGCTATAACTAAGATAAAGTTGACTCATTTCCAGGGGAAAAGCACAAGTTTGATTTACCTACCATATATTAAATTTGATATTGTTTTAATTTTTGGTAGTAATTTAAAGATTATATTTTTTATCTCAATTACATTTAAGAATAGTATTTCTTAACTTGATTACATTCTTAATTACCTTCCAAAAGATTATGCTTCATGTGAGTATAGTTTTGCTTTGAACAGATATGAATACATACCTATTGAAAGCATTTGTTATATGATAATAAATATTCTGTATTTCACTTGCCTCACCCAGCTATAATCAATGTGGAATAAATTTCAATAAAACACATACTCTTCTTTTGTCAAAGTGTTATCTTACTTCTTTTGTGCCATTTTCTTTCTGATCAGGATATAATTCATTTGTGAGCAAGTACCAGTGGTCAAGTTTAGACCCASTATAAAACAAAACAAAACAAACCCTGAAGCATGGCTTCCACAGTTTGAACTTAAAGTTAAAAAGGGTTTATGTTAGTCAATGATATATATTGCCTTATAGTATAATAGGCAATAGAATTCTCTAGACTACTGATTCAGCAGTAGTCTAATGAATGGAAATCGTCTCTCCCTGATGCAACCTACCCTTCCTACCTATAAGATTGTTGTATTTCAAAGGAACCCATAGAAACTCTTCCCAGCCTCAGAAGGTACTCCTCTATCTTCCATACTCTGGCTGAGGCTAAGACCCTGGAAAACAAATTCAGGACCCCAACAGATAAAAGAAGATGTGAGGCAAGGTTGGGATAGTAGAAAAGGCTTTATTCAGAAGTAGCAGCAGCTCTCAGCTTCTAGCCCCACCCCCTAATCCTTCCATAGGCCTTTTTATATGCAGGCCAAACAAAGAAAGCACACTGCCAACATGTTACATAAGTGAGCTCATGCTCACTAGCAAATGTTTATGACCTTGGGAATATATCCTGAATCAGGGTGTTTATGACCTTGGCTATGTACTAAAAACATAGTCTGCTGGAATTCTTGGTAAGAAAGCCTAACTATAGCTATTTGGGGCCTGACCTATACTTGGTAAGTATATTCTCAGCAAATATTCTCCAGGAGTAGTCAGGAGCTGACCTGAGCTTCAAAGCAAATCTCCAAATAAGGGATTTAACTTATTTAAAAAAAAAAAAAAATCCAGAAAATGTAAGGAAAAATTTCAGATGTTTCAAATGTGGTTCTTGGTAAAGACTAGAAGGGATTAGAATGGGAAGATACTTATATCAAGATGATAGAATTGTAGGTTCCTTCTTTACTTCCATTATTATAGATATAGCTTTTGTGCAAAACAATAAATTAATATATTTTAGTTTACAGGCTATCAAATCTTCATTGAATTCATTAAGTAAAATTATACTTTCCTGAGGGTGTATACTAAACTATGACAAACATCTACCTCAAGGAAATAATTCAGTAAATACAACTCCCATTGAGTTATACAGGATGCAACCTTAGGCCCACAGTTATGGTAAAAGGCACAGCTGGGGTACAGGATGAGGAGCTAGGGATGCTTTCATCCTTCCAGTCTTAACATTTATTTGTAGCCCCATTAAATCAGCTGGGTCACCATTTTCTTGTTTATAAACCTTTCTTCAGAATACTTATCTGCCCTGTTGGAACAAGGAGAAAATTTATTTCCTGCTTAAATAATAATTGTTAAACAATAATTTTAAAGTAACAAGTATCATTTATGATATAAAACCAAAATAGCTTATAGAGGAAAAGTAAAATAATTCCTTTGTTATAACACATTCATTTGTTATAACCACATTCCTTCCATCAAAATAAAAGCAATAGAAACAAATATGAAGTTCTGTATAAGCAGCAGTAAATAATATCAACAACTAAGTCTCATTAGTTCAACTCTTAACCACTAAAACTTCAAAAAGCATACWATATCAAGAACTAAGAGACGTCTTCATTATATTCATTTCTTACATTTAAATAAAATATTAAGTGTGAAATTAAGTATATTACTATATATGTAAATTACTATATTACTATAAATGTAAAAAGGAGATGAACATAGTTATATAAATTTCAATTTGGTTAGTTCTAATGAAGATCAGTATTCAAAGTGATTAATTAGCTTCACAAAGAAAAGAACAATTTCTATTATGAAATTCCATTAAAAGTTGGAACAAATCCATAACATTTTAAATATTGGTACAACCATACCTATTAAAGCATGAATTATTCCTAGTGCTGTATTTCACAATGCAAAATCAGTATGGAAATAATAAATTAAGGCTCCAGATTGAATTACTTTAAAACAAAGAGTTTAGCAAATTATTTAAAAAGACGTTATTGCCTTCATTATTAACAAAAATGGGCAAAAATCAAGAAAATAATTGTATAATACTTAAATAATTTCTTACTTTTTATAATGGGAATTTTTATTTATGCTTCATTTCAGTTGAGACACTCAAAAATATCTTGTTTTTCTGACTTTGTACACTAAAACCATGTGACCTTTTTGACATTTTTTAAGAAACCACATGCACCTGGGGTTGTGTTAAATGTCAGGCCCTTATCTCTCTGTGAAACAAATTATCTAAATTCTTTCAACCTGTTGAAGGCATTTTAAACCACAGAAGAGGAGACAAAAATGTATTTCAGTTGTTTTAAGGAAGTACCTGGTGAAACATGTTTTTCACATTCACACTATAAAAGTATCCCCTAACAGTTGTTTTTGTATGTTTTTAAGAAAGTATTTGAAACAAACTGTTCACTATTATAATGAAGCATTAGCTATCTTTGCCTTGAATGTAATGTAGGTCTGGAATGAGTGAATTTAAGTACAGTACTTAGAATAAAGTCTAGCACTAAATATGTACTGTTTACTGCTACTACTAGAAATGACTTCAAAATGCAATAAGCAACCATTAGAGTTTATTATGCTCTTCTTCATGTTAGCAGGTACTCAGTTTTTTTAGCAAGCTCATTAAGAATTTAAAAGCCAAGAATTATTTTGCTTTCCTTCTATATCAGGGAATACGTACTAACCATATCAAATGGGAGTTATTTCAAAAACAGCAACTTTTTGGTTATGTATGTCACTGGGTCAGTATAAGAAAAAGCTTAAATAAAAGCATTTATTTATTTAGTTTCTATCCTCAGTCATCTCTCCCTTAGGAGTCTCAATTTCCTCTATAGCATCATTTTTCTTCCTTCACCTTTGCATAACTGACTTCCAAGTTAATATTTTAGCCTTCACTTTTGAGCTATTAACACATTTCCACTTGTCCAAAGGCATCTCCATACTAGAATTTCAAATTCTACAATATTCAAAAACTATTATCCCTTGGCCAGGCACAGCAGCGCAAGCCTGTAGTCCCATTGGCTCAGGAGGCTGAGACAGGAGG